GAAAAGCATAAAGAATTCTTTATTTCAGAGGTAATTGGTTCTAACATTTTTTTTAGAAAACATTAATATCTATATACTAAATGGATTTTCTTATAAGAGAATATTTTATATACAAGAGCGGTATCCTTCTCTAATAGCCACTCTTATGGCTTGGTTGTATATGCCGTAGATATTAGTTCTATTTATTAGGTTGTAAATCTTGGCCAGATTATTTTTCTGTGCCTCAGTGTACTCAGCTATAAAATATGAATCATAACAGTACAATTCACTAAATCTAATCTGTAGAGGAATTAGTAGCACAGTGCCTGACTAGAAACTACTCACTAAATGTTAGCTATTAGTATTACTTCCATTGAAAATGCTTTGGTTTGATATACCAAGTTCAAATGCTAATGGAGAACTATTTCTTTATTTTATTATTAGTTACTATCAGTGTGATTACTTTTTTTAATTTGCTTTAACATTTATTCAGAAGAAGTCTACTTATTTACATTATAATCCACCTTTAATTCACTTTAAATATCATGGAACTCCTGAGCAACCCTGCCTGGAGAGGAGTCCTGTGGGGTAGCAGTGTCTAGGCTTTTGCCGTTTTGCTCAGTCATTAGTTGGGGGAACTCCAAGAAGAGCAGGACGTTGGTTCAAAAAGTGAGATGGACCTGAGGGAGCTAACAGCTGGCAGCTGGAAGTCCTCACACTTTTGAAGGGGGTCTGAGAAGTGAGTCTCTATCTGCCACATGAATTTATTTAAATCTTGAAATAGTAGAACTGGTAGAAAACTCTTAGAATTTTGAGAACATATTTTGAAACCTGTCTAGCCAGTAATAAATTCATAGAATTTACTTGATATGGTACTATCTAATAATATAAAAACAATCTGAAAGTTTACATTTCTGATCATCTATAATAAAAGCATAATATGCTAATTAGACCGATGTCCTTCTGGATGAGGCTGGGGCTGCGAGGGCCGAGTCCCTCGCATGAATTTCGTGCATAGGGCCTCTAGTAGATTTATAAAAGCAAATGAAGTTTAATAAAGTAAATGAAGTTTGTGTTAACAGTCAATGTAGGTATAAAAACAGGAGAATGCCCCTGTGCTTGACCCAGTATATCTCAGTTATCTAATTCTCATAGGAAATGCAGGCAACAGAAATGTTTTCTAATTTAAACAATTCCTTATTATAGCTACTCAGTGCAGTACAATTGGTGATTTTTTGTATTGTATCAAACTTACTGCTATAAAACGACATTTCTAATTCACATACATGAACTGACTCTTAAGAATTTGGCTTGAGAATTTATATAATCAGGGATAGGCTTAGCTTGATAAAATACAATTCAGAATTTTAAAAAATTATTAAAAGTATATTTTATTTGTCCCCTATTGTACATTTGTATTACATTAAATAAGAACTTTTTTGTTGGCACTCACAATACTTTGAGATCATGTGTGTTGTACATATGGGAATTCTTTGAAGTCTTAAGACATTGTTGAGTCTAAAGAATTTGGAGTATAATGTCTAAATTGAACAATGTGGCTTTAGATGTGGTATGTGTGTATTGCTTTTAGAACTTATTTTACTTATATTTTATGGATTCAGTCATTATTACAAGCAGCATGTAAAGACTTTTCTTCATACGGCCACCAGAGAGCATTAGTAGAAAGGGTAAGAAGATGTAACTTTTTGGAAAACGACTTCACTGGGTTAGATTTTAATACTTGCTTCCTTTCATTTTTACTTTCTAATATTTCTAAGTGAGTATTGATGTTATTTTTCTCTGGGACATTTAAGGATGAAAAGTACTACTTACGGTCACTTGGGGAAGACCCTAGAAAGGTAAGAATTCTGAATATGAAACAATTGCTTCAAGCTTAAATGGATGTATATATATAAACTGGCACTATAATTTTTATACTTGCTGCCTGTCATATGATCTGTTTTATCGTTTTTCATTCTTTCCTTAATGATTCGAATAAGTATGATTATTAAAAGTTGATAACTTAGTTTTTCAAGTAGGACCATAGAATCTTAGTGTTTAAAGTCATCTACTGGTAATCTGTACGTAATTAAGAAATTCTTTCTATTGTGTATTTTACAGATTGCAATTCACCTAATAAAATATAAACTTAAATAATTATAAAAATTCTGAATAACTCATTATATAAGCTTTGACATGCATTCAGAGTCTAATTTATATGGCTGTAGTGCTAAAGAGTATCCCTAAAATAATTAAGTAAGATTACATTAGTTCTTTGCCTTCATTCTCCTTCCTCAGACCACAGATTTACATAGTTGATAACATTCAAGTTGATGACTCCTAAACTTAAAATACTTAATGTTAGATAACAACTGTATGAATCTTGCTTAAAGTAGGAAGAACCTTTCTATAAATGAAGCATATTAAGCTAAATAGTGTTAAATCTGCAGTCTTGTTACACAGTGTGTATTACTTCATTGGTGGCTATGGTCATGTCCTAGTATTTTAAAGCAGTGAACAGAGTTTCACTCCATTTCTCTTTTGTATCATGGATTCTGATGGCAGTCTTAGATAAAATAAGCATTGTGCCAGTGTTGTTTTGTTAAAATTCTTATTGTGTTCCTCTCAATGCAGGATGTTGCAGATATCAGAAAGCAGTTTCCTTTATTGGAAGAAGATATTAAGTTTCCAAAATTTTTCAAAGAGGAGCAGTTCTTTTCCAGTGTTTTTCGAATTAGCTCACCGGGATTACAACTTTGGACCCACTATGATGTATGCTACACAGATGAGAAATCTAAGCTACTGTAGATGTTTACCATTGATAGATTTAACAGTCACAGTTTCAGCTCTGTGGGCTACCCTAAGTATCTTCGACATGTAATTTGCTAAAACATGAGGTTGAAAACAGATGCTCTGCAAGGCGGTGATATGGAAATGAATTGTTAGCTAACACCAAAGCCTAGTTTATCACATTTGCATTCTCAGTGGTCTTGTTATTGATTCATCAACTATATATATAAAAGGCTAAGTGACCAGTCGACGGGCCGGTCAGTGGCTATGATGCATACTGACCACCAGGGGGCAGACAACGCAGGAGCTGCGGAGCGACAGCAACTTTGCAGAGTGCCCTCGCACTCCGGGACTCCTTGGGGGATGTTGGACTGCCAGTTTTGGCCCAATCCCCACAGGCCAGGCTGAGGGATCCCACTTGCCAGAGGGACCCCACTCACTCTAGATGCCCTTCGAGCCCCAGCGCTGCCCCCAGGGTGCCAGCTTGGGCCAGGGAAAGACCCGTGAGAAGGGTGGCTTCCAGGGCATGTCCCCGCCCATCTTCGCCCAGTCCCTCCCCCTCCAGGCACCACCTAGTTAAATGTCCTTTCCATGTGCACAAATTCGTGCACTGGGGTCTCTAGTCATATATAACGTTTTATTAGGTGTTTTTGTTTTGTTAACACATGAGAAGTGGCCACCAGATGAGGAGGAAAATGGTGGAAGTAGAAAAAGGTGATAAGGTGTGGTATGAGTCAGAAGCCTGTGGACAGCCATTTTCACTCATCAGAAGGGCTCAGGGATATATCCCCTGAGAG